AAAACGACGGCCAGTGCCAAGCTTGCATGCCTGCAGGTCGACTCTAGAGGATCCCCGGTACAAGGGGTACAAAGTGATTTAGGGGTACAAAACTCACAATTCGGTGGTACCTAAGACCGGGAAAAAAGCTTAGTTTGTTTCCCCGAATTGTGAGTTTTGTACCCCTAAATCACTTTGTACCCCTTGTACCCCCAAATTGTTGTACCCTCCAAACTATGTTCTCAAACTTACAAAAATCGATGCCTCCTTACTGGGTTCCTTCTCCGATAACGGATCCGATGGCCATGCCATAATCAGAGAGTTAAAACACGCTGGAGTTGTAAAGAAACTAATGTAAAACATATAAACCACACTTAAAACCATTGAGATATAACCCATTGGTTTCTCGATGACATCTGCATAATCTCGAAAACCAATACTAACGATTCGGTTGAGGAATAGGGAGAGGGTAATAGCACAAGCACCACACCACGTACACAAAGCAATTCCTCCGCATATGTAGATGAATGTGGGATAGGCACAGAAGACAGCACCTTGGATCAGAAGGATTCCAGTTATGATGCAGCTGCAACCTGAAATAAAAGTCATTTTTAGTTGAGAGCTTTATTCCAGGAAAACAAAAATGGTTGGCTTCTGTGGAGATCGAACCTGTAACCTCTTGGGAAACAGCGTAGCGCGCAAGCCACTACAAAATGGGACATCACAGCGCTCGTGGTAGTGATGGTGTATACTACAACAGCTTACTCTTTCCCCTCATCGAGAAGGGAAACTAGAATGTCAAATGTTTACTGTTGCGAAATTTAGAGTAAATTGTTTTCCAGATGCCCAAAACTCACTTATTGCACACATATCCGTTGCTGCCAACAAAACGATAATCTTATAACAAGTGTGTCGAATCAATTTAGTTTTGAAAATGATCCAAACAATTGGAATATATAGTAACTCGATGAATATTCCGAAAGTTGTGATTGGATATCCCAACCATGGTCGTTGAACCCCATTTTGCCACCATTCGGATTCTGGTTTCCATGAGCAATTGTAGAATGGAATGGCGTCAGTGCTACCGTAATGGATCAAGCGGTTCATGGCTTGAAGCTGAAGCTAGACTCTACAAAGGAAGAATTTGAAGTTTCAAGAAATGTTCAGAAAGTTTTTGACATTAAAAGAAAATTAAACTGTTTCATTTTCTAGGTGAAAGATAAATAAATAATATGTTAGTAGTTGACTCGCCTCGGTTATATAGGTGTTCCAGGATTCTGCTCCTATTTCTGACTCCACCCCTTTCTTACGTCATGCACTTCGTCTTGAGAATAGGATTAGTTTTCTTACTGACAAAAGGATAAGACTAGGTATAGAAATAAGGACAAAAGGTTAAGAATGCTAAGCATAAGGTACATGTCATGTGTTTTTGATTTGCTGGTACTTATGGATCAGAAATAAGCAGCAATTGGTTTTGGAGAACTGTTCACCTTCGCACTTCATCAAACAATTTATCTGTTTCAAATGGTTCACAAAGTTCTGGAGGGATTTTCAAATTTAATGCACTACGCAAATACATAGCTTTAGAAAGTGCTGAAAGTTTTTTTGTGTCTGGAATTTTTAGTCTATAATAGTTGTTAACAACTTTTTGAAATTTGAATTAAGAAGGTGTTTTTGCATATATCAAAACCCGTTAATTCCTGAAATCATTCGTTAATTCATAAAAATCTGTAAATATATATTTGTAGTCTATTATTAATAACCAGCCTGTTTGCCTAAGGCGCTTCAAAGAGATGGCTGGGGCGCCTACGGCGCGAGATCGTCGCTTCGCTCCTCTTACTTCTTTTCTCATTTTTCTTCAGACATGACAACCCAAACACTTTTACGGTAGGTCAAATTTGTCTGGCGGAATTTTCCTTTAGGAAAATTGCCTTCTGGGAAAAAACGGAATAACACAAACGACAAAAAATGAAAGAGGCGATCGACTTTGAAGCAATTTTCGAAAAATCGCGGTATCTTTTCTCACCGCGAGAGATTTCGATCGAATAATAGCTTGAAACACTCAAAAATAGATTCTTTACAATAATTTGCTAGAAGAAATTATTAAAACATCGAACAATTTGAGAAATTTTCGGTTTTCGAAAATTGCTTAAAAGTCGATCTCCTCTTTCATTTTTTGTCGGAACTAGTTGCTTTTGTACTTAAAATGTGTGTTTTAGCCTGTTTAACAATTTCTATAGACGAAAAATTGAAAAAAATTGTCAAAAAATGAGAAAATTTCGCTAAAAACCGGCTTTTCAGTGCAAAATTTTTCAAAAAAAAATTTTCGCCGCGCGCAACCGCGCTCCGCTGAGAAAAAGGCTTGCAGTTCATTTTGGGAGCTGGGGAGACCGTTATGAGTTAGAAATTATGTTCGTCTAGGAACAGGAAAGAAGATAAATTAACATGACTTAAATTAGTTTTAAAAGAGATGGATGTAATCAAGGGTGGGAACACGGTTTTGGAAGCGAGTTCCAGCAGGATATAATACGGAGAGTAAGAAATTAAGCAGAAAGTTTTGAAGCATTTTTTAATGTACAGCTAATGTAATATGGGTGGCGTCTTAGATGATTATGATGAAACGGGACAATGAATAGATTATGGGCAATTGCAATTTCCTGGGAAACTAGAGTTTTATACATAAAAACTAGATCGGATAGAAGTCGACGGTACTCTAAGGATTCTAAATTGTGATCACGGAGACAATCAAAGTAGGATATATAGGGATAGTTGAACTTCTTGTAACATCGGAACAGGAATGACTTTTGAACGCCTTCAAGAAGCTTGATTTGCTCCTTGAGGAAAACAATTGTACCATACTCAAGAATGGGGCGAATGTAGATGACAAAACATTTTACGAAAATATCCATTTTAGACCGGCGGAGAAAATTAAAGAAAATGTAACAATAAGACGGTAAAAATAACAATTTTAGCTGTTACCACGAATTCCTTTCTAAACTCAGAGAACCGTTTTTTTTCCTTTTCAGTTATTTTTTCTGCTGAAAGTTTTCCTATGGAAGCTTCGAATTGGATTTTGAACTAGTGGGAGATACCGAGAAACCTAGCAGTCAAAATTATTTCATGAAAAAGGGACGTTTGACAAAAAAAAACCAATGATTTAAATTTTTATTTGCAATTTTCAACCTTTTTCTTGACTTTTTATAGCTTAGCTTCAAAACTCTGTGAACTCGATTTGACTCCGCCCCTTTCTTACGCCATGCACTTTGTCTTAACAATAGGATTAGGGTTCTTTCTAGAATAAGGATAGCATTAGGTATAGAAATAAGCGCAAAGAGGTTAAGGATTGTTTGAATAAGGTACATTTTCTGTGTTTTTGATGTGTTGGTACTTATGGATCAGACATACAACAACTTGAGATTGGTTAAGTGATATTCTCTGTTTCACAAAGATTGATGAGATTTGATGGGATTTTTGAATATCTAGTCCAACAAGCAATTCGAGTGCCTAAAATTTGAATTAGAAAAAATCTCAAGTATTTCATAATCAATTTTAAAAGTTGTTTTGTAGATCAGTATGATTAATGAAATTGACAAAATTTTTTGATTCATCTTGTGGAAGCAGAAATTATTTATTTTTAGTGAAACTGCGTACATAAAATCTTGAATATATTGAATAAAGCCAACAAAGAGTTACACTTATAGGGATTTCGAAACAAAGATTTTTCAGAATATTCTGGAAAAAATGAAAAAATTTTTGAAAAAGTTTATTTAAATCATCAAAAAATATATTTTTTTCATCTAGTCTAGTTATTTATCAATTATCTATGAAAAGTATTCAATAAAAAGCAGAAAGTGCATTCATTTATGCAGTAGAATCTTAATGACTCCTCTCTAACGATCTCAAATTTTAGATTGCGTTGTGCTCTTGACAGCAGCACTTGATGTCGCGTCTTCCACTTTCTGAAACATCCAACTTCAATAAAATCTTATTGATTTCCCTTGCCTTAATTCTGAAAACCAATCGATAGAATTCCCTCCGAATAGTGTCATTCATCGTGACATAAATGAGTGCCGGACATGCATGATTGCATGCCCAACAGATTTGTCCAAATGCCAGAATCCATGGAGCAGGGGTCACAATTGCCAGAGCATTGTAGACGAGAGCAGTGGCGGTATTGAAAAAACAAATTATGGAGCATTGGATGAAGATCTGGAAGATATTTCGATTTTTAGAAGAGTTGGGGCTACCAGACGAAAATATGAAAAGGGAACTAAATTTTTTCGCCCACCCGAAGACACATTGAACATAGAAAACCCGAACAACTTATTACAGGAATTTGAAACAGTTTTTTTGAGAATCTATATAATAAACATTGAAAACGCAAGGAACTTAATTAACGATTTCAGAACGAGTGTAAATTGATTTCGGACTTTTTGGACCCCAAAACTATTATGGGCCTTTTTCAGTAATTTCGAAACTTTCTTAAACCAAAAAACTAGAAAAAAACAAAATTGTATTTTACTGTTTCGTCAATGTGTTAACGTTAGCTTCTCACATTGCGCTTAATTCGTCAGAAGTATTCTTGAAAATTATTATCCACTGTGTAAATAGTTTGAGCGAGAGATAAGTTCCACAACGACGTTTAAAGGGTTATTCATTCGGTTAATACTTATATTTTCAATTGTACGAGGTCAAAGGTCAATTTTCCTGAGTCAAATTGATGAGCATCGAACAGACAAATCATCACGAGTATGTGAAACAGTAAAGCTTTGTGAAATCACTGTTTCCAAAATTTGGTATATGTGGTTAAAGATTTTTTCAAGTTAGTTATGTAATTCGTCGCTCATTTAGTCATTTTCGATTAGCGCTGAACAGTGCATAATTATGAAAAGTTCGAACTTCGAAGCTCATCCACATCAATAATAACCCAAAACTCACTGCTTTAGATGCCTTTGACTTTTGTCCCCTTGCCAATCGTTTGACCATTGCGAAGTATACAGAAAATAAGACAAACATGCAGGTTACGAAAATCCAATTATTCCAGGCCTGGATTGTGTTCTTGTACTGAAATATTTCAGTTTAATAGAGCGTTGTTTCAACTTTTTTTTTCAAGATATCCCATTTCAAAAATACCCCCAGTTTGAAAACAACAATTAATTCAGATCTAAGTTTTTCATTATGATACTAGCATCCATTTTGTTGCCTTTTTAATTTTTTTTGCCTTTTCAAATTTCCCATTCATAACGATTTATGTACATATGATAGTTGATTCCCCATATTGTCGAATTTTAAAAAGTGGTACCTGAAAATTTGAAAGGCGTAGCTTTTTTTGATCTACAAAAAAGTGCGGCGAAAACTTAATATTTCAGGTTTTCGCCTCGTTGAAGCTACTTTCGCAATTAAGTTCGGTTTTTCGATGAAAAACAGATTCTAAAGATGCTAGCGATCATTTTCCTACCAAGAAATATAATATTTGTTCAGGAAATCCCACTAAATTCACAGAAATAAGTTTTGTTTACTACCGTAGTGTTTCTGGGGCAAGGCCTCGAAAATTGATCTTGAAGCCGCCCGCTAAATTTTCCAGGTCTCACTTTTTTAAATAAAAAAATCGACAGTACCATTGCCGCTGCTTCTGGACTCGGAACATCTTCAGATAATGGATCTGGTAGCCAAGCCATAATATCCGAGTTGTACACAATGGAGGGGGTGAAATAGTAAATGTAGAATCCGTAAAACAACACAAATGCGATTGAAGAATATGCCAATTTCTTCTCAATCACATCTGCATATTCACGGAACCCAATGGAGATAATACGATTGGCGAATAGGGATACGGTAGCTGCACATGCCATGCACCAGGTGTCTGGAAGTAAGAAGATAGGTCTTCGAGAAGTTTCTGGAGGAACTTGGAGAAGGCTGATTCAAAAAATTTTGAAGCCAATCCAATATCTGAATTCTAAACTTTTGTCTTATGTCGAAGTGTTGAAACAGCAAGAATTAGCGTAGAACGTTTCTTGCTATTTACATTTTTAGCTCATTTATCTCGATTTCTGTAAGAAATATCAAAAATCTGCAAACTACAAAAATGTGCATGATATTACGGTAAACATTTTAGCAGTTTACAGATTTTTGATATCTCTTAAACGAACCGAGATAATTGAGCTTAAAATACGGGTGTCGTAGGTTAGTGGATGGGGCCTCAGAATTTCTAGGAAAACTCTTCCTATGGCGCCTTTTTAAACTCACTCAACACAAATCCACCGGCGACGTAGGTAAAAGTCGGATACATACAAAAAACGGATCCAATAATGAGCAATGGTCCAGTAATCAGACAACTACAACACGTGGCACTCATATCGATCATGGCCAACATCAAAATGATTTTATAACAGGCATGTCTGATGAGTTTAGTTTTAATGATGATGTAGATAATTGGAATGTACAGGAATTCGATGAAAACTCCAAAAATGACCAATGGATAGCCGAACCAGCCTTTTTTGACACCGGTTTTCTCCCATTCGTCGAATGTTTTATTTGAGCAATCGTAGAATGGAATCGCTTCGACACTACCGTACTCCACGAGACGATTCATGGCTTTGGATGGGGTATAATGTAAAAATAGGGCTTTTTATATGCAATAGTCTGATTCTCAGGATTTATTGTTAATTATGGATTAGGGTTATAACCGAAAAATGAGGGTTTTTATATCTGGTTTTAAGAATAAGTGTCTAGACTGATCCTTATTGTTAATTCTGGATTAGGTTGGATAGGGTTACGTCAGTAGAGGAGGTCTCAATTGTTAGGGAGATTAGGTTTTCCTGTTATTTAACAAAATTAGGTTTTCCTGTTATTTAACAAGATTAGGTTTTTTATTCTATAGATGACTAAGTTGGAGGTCCAAGAAAATAAATAAATGTGAGTCATAGGAAGAAATACCCGGAACCAAAAGCTGCAAGAAAATCGGGAGCAAAACTTTAAGGATCGTTAACTTTAAAGGCGCATGTCTTCAAAACTACTGTAGATATGAAAAAAATTGTCAAGAACAAGAATATCAAGCACAAATATAACTCAATTTTTATAATTGGCCACTTTTTTCTAGCTTTGAGATATGCGACTTTAAAGACCACAATAGGGGTCGAATACCTCTATGTGTGATCTTTAAAGGCGCATAACTCTGTCCAATTTTTGAATTTTTGTGTCAAATAAAAAGTAAAATGTAGAACCTGACAAGATCTAAAAAATAATGTTAAATTCACCTATATTTGATTTTCAAGTTTTAGAGCAGAACCCGTAGAACAGAAGCTTCTCCAAATCGTCCCCGAGTCGAGCCACTCTACGCGGCTTCTGGGTCTAAATCAGTGTTCGAATATACTTGAATTTTAGATGGTTCTGTAGGTCTTGTCAACTTCTATACATAATTTTTTCTTTAACTCAAAAATTACAAAATGGAACATAGTTATGCGTCTTCAAAAATCAAAATAAGGTGAAACTACCCCTATGTCGATTTTTAAAGGCGCATATGTGCTAAACTACTGTATTTAGAAAAAATAAATATAATCATAATTAATTTCTATGCGTGTTTAATATTTTTGTTGTTGACATGTTTTTCATAGCTACAGTAGTTTTGGAGGTTTGCGCCTTTAAAGAGTTATGCGTCAGTTGAAGAGTTATGCGTCAGCCAGTGCTCTATGGCGATCTTCAAGGCGAGTGATTACGGTAGCTAGAAAAACGTTCTTGATGAATTTACTCAAGAAAATAGAAAAAAGAAAATCAAATCTATTTAAGACTTAATAAAAAATTTGAAACAATCACAGTTTTTGCCAGTATACTGAAACCGGGGATCTGAAAATCTGAAAATCCAAAAATTTCAGGTAACATGTATTTTCTTATTTAAAAACTTCCTTACGTGATCTCCACGTGATTCTACTCTCCAATATTTCCTCTAAAATCCCACTTCCCCCGAAAAAAACCAATAATCGATTTTCTACTCACTTCTATATTTTCCAAACGGTTCAAAACTGATTTTATCTATCAATATTTTGTTAAAGAACCCATCTATGCAAAATGACAGATACTGATACACATGAGGATAGCAAATCGTGTGAGGAGTACCAGGTGAATCAGAAAATCGATAATCGATTTATTGAAAAGTAATTGCAGTCCCAATCGACGGGTATCCACAAACTGATTCCGCCGTTCGTTCGTGATATGTGTTTGAATCCGATGAGTGTTGCGTTGAGAGTCGCTTATGATGCGCCAACACAACAGTATAAGACTTTTGGAGAAATCGATAAATCGGTAAATTTTTGCAGATCAACATACACCTACTCGATTACCTGGGAGGACGAGTTGGATCCGGAGGAAAAGTATATGGAGATGATGGAGAAGTTGGAGAAGGTTCGGTCGGCTACCAAGGGAGTCAAGGCTGGTGAGGTTGGGGAATATATGATCGGCCGATGGTCGGTGGCGGTCGGCCGATGGTGAGAACTGGTCGGTGGTGGTCGGTTATGATCGGCGACGGTCGGCCAATGGTCGGAAGAGCTTGACCGATGATCGAAAGTGGTCGGCCATGGTCGGCAATACATTTTTTGGTCTCCTTCCGTTATCATCGCAAGTGGTCGGCCGATGGTCGGAAGTAGTCGGCGACTTTTGGCGACTGTCGGCCGATAGCCAGAAGCGGTCGGCCAATGGACGGGGGTGATCGACGACGGTCGGCCAATGGGCGGAGGTGATCGACGACGGTCGGCCGACGGTCGGAAGCGGTCGGCCGATGGTCAAACATAATCTGCGACGGCCAGCGGTGGTCGGCCGATGGTCGCCGTCGATTATTAATAGCCGGCAACTTTCGGCCAACGGTCTAAAGTGGTCGGCCGACGGTCGAAAGTCGTCGGTTGACGGTCGGAAATTGATCGGAAACCATCGGCGTGGTCGGTCAATAGTCGGAAGTGATCGGCCGATATTCTAAATTGATCGATGATAATACTTTCATTTCCCAAAATTTTCAGATCTTCTTCCCACTCCTTCCGATGATATCGCCTCTCATCATGGCCTTACTCCAGTGTCTGCAATTTGCGATGGACCTTGCAAGAAGTCGTTCCCATCGAACCTTCTTTTGACACTCGGCCGCTGCGGGCACTATTTGTGTGCCGCCTGCTATGGAATCGTCAAAAATTCTGATGGAACCAGTGGATGCAGTGCGGCCCACTGCAATTGGAAAGGCGAGACTCGGAAGGAGTCAAAAAAGAATTTTGAGAAGGAGGTGAGACTGATCAAAAAATGTATTGATTTCTGGAATCGAAAAGTGGATAATTTATTTTTTCCAGATTTGCCAAAAACAACGCATCCGTGCGCGCGAGATGAAATCGCTCGGAATCGATGTCAAATCGGCATCCGCCGCATCCAGTAAATCCAATTCTAAGAATTCGTCTCCAGCCACTTCCACTATTTCCAATGTTTCCAAAATCCCAATTTTATCTGAAACGGATTGCTCCATTTTGCTCTCCTCCCCAATTTCTTCGTCATCTTCTAAAAAATTCAGATTCCATTTGATCTACCCATCGGAGCAGGAGATCATTGGAGTGAAGCTCTTCATTCTGGACCAAATGCCAATCAATGGGCGTCCACAGTATGGGTTATTGATTGTTTTTATCGACTTTTTTGTAATATTGATTTTTCCGTCGCTCCAGCACCGTCGCCGAGTTGGAATTCTTGTCCCATCGATCCGTGAAGCATGTGGTGACCTCGTTGATCATCCAGAAGCTCAAATCGTTGCCAGCTGCTCATGATGGGGTACTGTACCACGTGGAATTGCAGGCAGATACGAAGCGTAGACTTCTTCGCGTCCGCACCAAGGAATATCATTCCAGAGTGTTGTGTGAATTTTCGCAAATGTGAGAGTTTCGAATTTTTTTTGACAAAAAATAACAAAATTTTGGACTTTTTGAACCCAAAAATTTCGATTTTTTCCATTATTTTTTAAAATGAAACTAGACGAAAAATAATCCAAAAAATTGACTTTTTGAGCCCAAAAATTTATTTTTAATTTCTTAATTCTCAGCGCGGAACACATCATTTTCGTTCTGGATTTCGGGAGATTTGTCAAGGATGGACAGGAGGTCAATATTGGATGAAAATTGAACTTTTATGTGTTTTTGATTTGGTATTCTTTGATGATAGAATGAAGTTTTTTGGATTCGGCTGCTACATCAGAAAAAAATTTTTATCAGGAAAAATACAGTAGTTTTGAAACAGTATTTTAGAAATTTTGTAGTTTTTCTGATGTTTTGAAAGTTCGGAAATATTGGAAATTTTCGAATTTTAGAATTTTTTGGAATTTTCGTTTTTTAGATTTTTGAAATTTTCGAAATTTTGTTCCTTCTGGAATTTTCGGAATTTCAAGATTTTTGAGGATTTTCTGATTTTTAAAATTTTGAATTTTTGAAATTTTTAGAATTGTCAGTTTTCTTGGATTTTTTCAAGCTTTTCGAATGTTTTGAATTTTTTGAAAAAGCTTTTGAATACTTGGAATTTTCAAAATTTTTGGAATTTCTCGAAATTTCAGAAAGTTTAAAAAAATGTAATTTTTTGTGAGATCTGAAATTTTGAACCAATTTGAAACAATTTCGGTTTCGAAATATCCACAATTTCATCTGAAAATCTGGAACAATTGATCTGAATGTGGTAATTAGGGACTGAAAACTCAAAAATCGAATTTTGAAATTGAAAAAAACATCAACATTGAAAAATAAGAAAATTAAAAAATCAAAAAAAATTGAACTAAATTTTGGACATTTTGGAAATTTTCAGATCAGAGAATTTGGAAATATCTAAATACTAACAAATTCTTGAAAAAAAAACTCTGAAAATCTTAAAACAACTTTCTGAAACATCAACCTATGACAAGTCAAAAACTCCAGAAAAAATCAAAATTAATAAAATTTCCGTAGCAATTTTTGAAAAAAATTCTGAAAATCTAAAAACCACTTCTTGAATCAACAACTTTACAAAAGTCAAAAAATCTGAAATCTGGCTCATTGATTTTAAAAAAGTTCAAATTTCAAAACTAATAAAAAAGACAAAACAAAGAATACAAAAAGAACCATTCATTCATTCAACCAGTTCACAAAAAAGAAAACCTTCATCCATTCCTTCAAAAAAACTCTCATTTTATTTTTCACGAAAACGAATTGGATTATCACGGAATAACTCAAAAGTCGGTTCCAGCCTGTTACTTGGCATACGCCTTTTGATAAGTCGTCGACTTTTTGTACTGATATTTTCCAGCGGCCGGAGCAGCGGCAGCAGCCGGTTTTGGAGCTGGAGACGTTTGCGCCTTGATGACGGACGGTGGAGCCGGAGCTGGAGCCGTGGCAGCCTTCGTGACGCTTGCAGTCGCCTTTGGTGGCTTCTTGCCGAACAGTTCGTCGTCAATGTCCACGTCAAGATCGGTGTTCTTGTGATTTCCGATTGCATCGACTGGCACAAATGCTGATTTGTCTGCCATCTCGCTCTTTTCTGGAAAAATCAATTTTTTTTTAAATTTAACTGTTTAATAAAGTCATCATATATTTTTGGTGGGTTTTTTCATTCAGTAGTCCTGTTCTACACCAGTTAAGCAGACCATTCGGTGAACTAGTTACCATGGGTACCAACGACAGTAACCCATTGACAACCGGTTACTCCAGGCCGCCCGTCAGTCGCCCATCGCCCGTCGACCATCCGTTGATAGCTCACCTGAGTGCTTTCGCAAACTTGAAGAGAAGTCTCAACGTGTGTTAGCAATAACTGATTTCTCCACTATTTCCTTCTTCTTTTATACCCAAAATTTCTCGTGGAATCGTGAACTGATAAGAGAGATAAGAAACTTTTTTTTTAATTTTTTAGGTTTTTTGAGGATCATGGGCACGTGGGAAATCATCAATCTGAATTTCCTCTAAAACTATAATAGTAGCTTTGAAAAATGAAGAATTTCCAAAAATTCAAAAATGAGAAATCCTGAAAAAAATCAATTTTCCGTATTTTAGCTCATTTTTGACCAGATGCAGCTCAACGGATCCTAAGAAATGAAAGTCAGAAAATAAAACATAAATTTGAATGTTTCAGAAACGAGTTAAACTTTCTACCATTTAAAAATATCTAATAGACGGAATCATGGTATCGGTCATCGAAAATCTATTCACAAATTTTCACTATATTGTCATAATTAGGAATTTTCCACTAATCCCAATGTTGAAAAATTTTTTAATTTTAATTTTTCTCTAAATAATTACATTTCCAAAAATCTTATATTATCTGTAATTTATTTTAGTTCTAATCGCTTCTCTGTTCCCGAAAATATTTTTTTCAGTTGATTTTTGGTGATTTCTAAGAGTCTGGAGCTCAGCTGTCATGTTTCCGATCACTTTGAAAGTTTTGGAGGATTTAAAACATACCTAGATTCGAAACTTTGCATTCACAGAGTCGTTTTGGAAAACTCCTAGTTTTTCAACTGTTTGCTGATGTCTGAAAGACACCCGCTTTTGACCCATTTTTCTTACTAAAAACGTGGACAAAAGCAGTTGTCTTTCAGACATCGACAGAACGCTGATAAACTAGGAATTCTCAAAAATTCTATGAATTATCAATCTATTTGAATGTTTCAGAAACGATTGAATTGTTCTTCTATTGAAAAAATATTCAATTGTCAGCAATTATTTTCTCAGTCATTGAAAATCTATCTGCAAAATTTCCTTGTATTGCCATATTTTCCAATTGAGAACTAATTGCAATTAAGATAATTAGTGATATTTGCCTTAATTGCAATCTTGCAGTTCTGAAAAATGAAAAAAAATCAATGTTTCAAAAAACTGAAAAAGGGAATTATCCACAAGTGGTAATTTAAAAAATTCTTGGCTTGTATACAAAGCGATGACAAATCGATGAAAAAAACAATTTTTGAAATAACTGCAGGAAAAAGAAAATCTTCTGAAATAAAATTCTGCTGAAAACTAGAAAACCGACAACGAGTCTTTTATTGAAGATAAATGAAATGTTTTAAAAATTACTATTTCAATGAATTTTTCAACCAAAATGTGATATCCTTTAGGACCTAACAAGAAGAACTTTATTTCAAAGTCTGCTATTCTCAAAAAAAATATTTCGAACTGTTGTTTGCCGTTCAATTAAAAAATATTAGGTTGGCAGGAAAGTAACTGTCCATTTTTTTATTAATAAATAACACAAACACAAGATTAATCCAGAATTAGCAATATGCACCGTCGTGATCCACAACATGTTGGCAATGTTCAGGTAACTTGTGGGTACCAACCCTCCAAAAGCCAACTAGTGGCAAGTCAAAGTATCCCTCCAGTCCATTTTTTCAGGCATCAATTGTGTTAAAGTCCTTAAGCTCCAGATGACGTCGTATACTTTTGAATAATCAATGATCTGATAGAGCTGAATCAAGTCTTTACCGGGGGTGAAGGAGAACCGTCCAGCCAAAGCGGCTCAGGTACGGCGTGACTTTCCGTGAACATGAGGTTTTTTCATTTTTTACCTGGAGTCAAGTCAGACCTGTGAAGCTTCAGTGGGACCGATCTCCCTCACCTACTTATAGTCCCGGCTGAGTTCTATCAGATTATTGGATATTCGGAGAGATACAACCTCATCTAGAGAATACAAACATTTTATGTGAAAAACATGAAAAAATGAATACTTTGATTCGCGGCTAGCTGGCTTTTGAAGGTATTGTATCCACAAGTTATCTGAACATTGCCAACATGTCGTGGACCACGACGGTGCATACTGCTAATCTTGGATTAATCCTGCTTTTGTATTATTCACAAATAAAACAAAGGACAGTTACTTTCCTGCCAACCTAATAAAAAAAGTCCATAACTCATGTAAACAGTAAGAAACAGGAAAAAATATTGTGAAAACGAAGTTGACTGAAAATCTGAAGATCAAAAAAACATTTTTTAAAATTTCGAGAATTTTTTGGAAAAATGATGAAAAATCCTCTGTTCCATTCGATTAATAAATTTTGTTTTTTTCAATCTTCCAGGATTGTCGATATTTCTCGAGTTCTGGTTTGGAGAGGTCTGGGCGGGGAGACGCATTCAAGCACCCCTGTATTGAAGCCTTGATTGAGTTGAATTTGGTGAGGACAGTTCTTGCTTCCTCCTTGGACTTGAATGCCAGGCGCACAATGGGCGGCCCTTTGGCCGGATGAGGTATGCGAAAAACCGATGGCGTTGAAGTACCACAGTCCTTGGCAATTTTAGAGGCGAATTCAGCTTTCTCAATAGCTTCTTCCGAAAGATCGATATTTTTGATGATCACATTCGATTTCCGTGCATCTTCAGAGTTAGCCAATGAGGCAGCTCGCATGAAAGTGATTTGGGATTCTGGAGCAGAGATGGTTGAGGCGACAGCTGAAGCAAAAGTTTTAATTAATGTAGTAGGAGGTTTTGGTGATTCTTTAGGTTGAGATGATAACAATTTGAGATTCTCCTCCAAGCCATCAACTTTTTTCGTAAGATTCGACAAATTGGCATTTAGAATACAGTTTTGGTTTTTCAACATTGTGTTTTGGGATTGAAGCTTGAGAATCGTTTCACCCAGCGACTTAAACATCATTGCAATATCATTCACAGTGAATTCTTCTTTCGATTTGAAATCATTGGACAGCAGTTCATATAATGGGTTAGACATATCATCCACAGATTCAATTATATCATCCACAGCTTGCTTACTGGAATATTCAGACAATTTGGATTTCTTACCGCCATTTTCATCTTTCAAGGCCGAGAGAGCTTTTCTCTTATTTCGAGGTTTATGTTTAATAATAGTTACAACCATAGCGGTCAAAAAATCGATATCAGAGGAATAGAAGGGGTCACCGCACGCTACAGAGACGCGGGAGGGGAATGAGACGCGGGAGGGGAATAAGACGCGGGAGGGGAATAAGACGCGGGAGGGGAATGATATAGATAAGTACTGTTGAAATTTTGGTGGAATAGCAAAACTTCAACATTTAGGTAGTTTCAGGATGTCAAAACGCAATTTTGAGAAAATACGCTCTATTGAATTTTTTCTTGGGCATCACAATGTCAAATCAATTCGAAGATGTCAATGAAATTTTATTAAGAACTCCAAAAAATCAATTAAATGGAACAGAAATCTTCATAGCCGGACCAATAACTTTGAGCGCCTTCTTTCCAAATTTCTCAATTTTTCGACCCCATTTTTTTAATCGGCTTCCAAGTCCTCGTTTTTCACGAATTTCAATTTCCAGGGCAGAATCGAGTGGCTAAAAATTATGTTTCAAGATCTTTTTTTTTAATACAGCACCTGAGAAATCCCATTCGGAATAGTTTCGGTAAGAATCAAAATAACCAAAAAGAAATAAATAAAACTCATATTCCCTAAACCGGAAATTCCTTTTATACAAAAAAAAAAAGAATTTTATACTGTTTCCATAAGTACACATAATTTTATTTTATAGAATTTTTTTCAATCGGTGCTTCTTTGACATGTTTGCCATGAAACGAAGAATGAAAAGTTCCGTGGGTCCGAAAACTATGCAAACATAAACATTTCATCATTTTATCAGTTGGTCACCTTTTGATATCTTTTCCAGGATGTTTCCTCTTTTTCTTGGTTTAAATAGAGCACGACAACAGTAACATAATTTTCCGCGTGTTGTTCACAACCTAACACAAACAAAAACTACAGTATTCCAAAAATTAACTTTTAAAAATTTTCGCGTGCTGACTTTTATCATTTACTATTTTCTTATCTTATCTCGAGATCTGATCTACAAGGACTATTTAAGCTGGAAAAATCACAAGAAGAAGTCAGAGCTCTAACGAGCTTCCAGGGCAGCTGGGATGGTTCATTCGATGGGAGCTCAACCAATCCGATGCGTCAGAAAATCAAGAAATACTGAACGATGACCGGGGGGACGACTTCTCGGAAGCTATTCTTGTTCTGCTCATTACTATTTTCTTTTATCTTTTGATTGGTGTCACAACAGTAGAAAAAGTTATTTAAACCCTCGGCTTGGGTGCCATGTTTGGGGTTCATGGCTAGGTGTTTACCACTGAACGTCCCCCTTTTACCAAGTGACCGAAATCAAATTTTAAGAGAAAATGAAATAGCAATAGAGAGCGTATGCATAGCTTTCCGACTTCCGACTTCAACACTCACTTTCTGCCAGATCTATTTTTCATTTTCTTATCCTTATTTGTGAAATATAATAAAGAAAATAATATTTATTGATTTTGAGAGAAACTTTATGAAACTTGTAAAACAATAATTTCTTGAGCAGTTTTTCGTACCGAAAACTTCAAAATTCAGCTATTTAGAGAAATAGCGTTTGATTTTGAGAGACGCAGACAGCAAGATTAACTGATATTCCATCAAACAAATCTTGATGAACTAATAACAAAATTTTGTTTTAAACTTGTAAATTTTGCGAAACATGGATTTTTGTTGTAAAACTCGAAAAATGAACTGTTAGAAGTTGAGCTACTAGGAGGAATAGTAATTGATTTTGAGAGAAGCTAAACAATGATTTTAACCTTATACAAAGAAAAATGGATCGATCCAACTAATTGACATGTTTCATATGAATTTTGTGGAACAGAAATAGTTTTGAAAGTTAATTTTAAATTAGCTAGATTAGTTGGATATGCGCTCTATTGTGAAATATAACAAAGAGAGATCGATTATTTGATTTGGAGAGACGCAGAAAAATAACCCGAAGTAATTGTCAAATGAGCTCAATTAACCAAGCACTTTTAATTTGACTACATGTCCTTTCTGATTTTAGTGAAACAGATACGTTTTTGAGAATTAATTGTGAATCAGTTAAATTAGTTACATACAGCTATTCGAAAGATATCAAATAAGAGATGCCGAGAAACGAGACATAATGCGTCTCTAACCCTCAAAACTACAAATTCGTATGAATCGGCTCGAATCGTCATAGAGTTCTCGTTTTTGGCTGATTTTGTTGGAAATTCTCTATCTTTAAAGGTGGGAGGACATGAAAAAAATAATGTTCTCGAAATTCCGTTCAAAGATTCCCCTCGAGGAGTTGAACTTGTCGAGACTAGTATTGACGGTGCGGCGCCGCTACCGACTGAGCCACGCGGGCAAAGAGGCAGCCGGCGCCCGATTGCATTCATAAAGGCGAGGACGACAGCTGTACGCAGAGTGACATTAAGCGTTGTACACCGTCACGGTAGAATGCATACTCTAGCTACAAAAAAACTACGAAAAATCTCCTGTCCCCCCACCTTTAATTCTACAGAATTATGGAAAAATACGTTAAAGAAACAAATAGTATTTGTCCTTGAAAGACGTGGAAATAATTATCAAGACAACATTCTGACAACATTCAGACAACATAAAGTCAGTTTCTCATGTAACTTGTAAAGCAGTAATTTTTGAACAATTTTTTGTACTAAAACTTTTAAATGTTGACTATTATGAGAAACATATTTTGATTTGGAGAGACACAGACAACAAGCTGATTGCTAAAATCTATTCAAACACTCTAACTAATCATAAAAACTTACTTTTCTATTAATTTGTGAATTTTGTGAAACATGGATTTTTTGTTCTAAAACTTGAAAATTTTTTCGAATGTTCAAAGTTAGACTATTAGAAGAAATAGCATTATATTTTGATAGACGCAGAAAAACTATTTGAACCTATTCGAAAGAAAGATCGATTGATCAAACAAATTATCATTTTTTATATGATTTTAGTGACACAGTTTTTTTTGTAAATTATTGTATCATCAGATTGAAAAACGCGATTGTTGAAAGATATTGAACGCGACAGACGCAGAGAAACGAGGCACACTGCGTCTCTAGCCTCAATACTTTCAAATTCTCTCAGCTTGGCTCAAGATCGTCGTAAAGAGCTTGTTTTCGGCTTGTTTTGTTAGAAGTTACCTATTTTTTAATTCTTCAGCATTATTGAAAAATATAATAAAAAAGAAATAGTATTTGACATTGAAAGAGATGAAACCGCAAACGAAACAGTCTAATCATAAAAGTCAGTTTCTTCTGAAACTCGTGAAAAAGTAATTTTTTTGACTATTTTTCGTACTAAAACTTATCTACTATGAGAAATAGTATAGGATTTTGATAGACGCAGAAATATACCGGAACCCCTCCATAATCTGACAGAGTGATCATATTGACATGTTTCTAATGTTATTGGTGAAACAGAAAAATTACTTTTTTTTTCCAAATTACCCTTCTTTTTTTTTCGAAAACCTCAAATTTCGTAACTCTACCCCTTAAGACCCTACGTCACCCAATTTCCCGCCAAAAATCACTGACCCATAAGAAAAATTTTCAAACCGGAAATGGTTACTCAAGATTTCCTGGACCCAATTTCTTCATTTCCCATTTGCTCACGCCAAAATTCGCCTTTGGCTCTCTACAAAAATTTTCCGTCTCGTCCATAAATTGTCGTTAGCGGCGCAAGCATCGCGCAGCATCAATATGGGTGTGGTGCAGACGGAAAATGAGATTCGAGACGAAATGAAAAGAGAATTGACGTTGTTGGTGAATGAAGTGGATCTGATTCCAGAGTTGGAACAAATGTTGGATGAGTTTATTGAGGTGAGTTCTAGGAGCTAGGTGAGTCCTACGTGGTCATTGAACTGCTCCATTTAAGAACCCCTCTTTATATAAAACACATTTAAGATAACAGATATTATAATAGCTGTTTCCGGAAATCTTGTCTCAGAAAATTTATTGTTTCAAAATATTCTTATTTTTTGTCTGTTTTTTCATATTTCAATAGTATTTTCTCAGAATTCCTGTTTCTTACATTTTTAAAAACCCTTGTGATATTAAGTGTCTTCGATGACCGTTTCCAAGTTCATTTTCTAGGCCATATGAAATAAACCGGCATCGGAAGACTCATTAATTCTACCTAGTTTTAGTAAAAAAGTCAACTTCCTGAAACAGCAATCCAAAATTATTCGATTTGCTTAAAATTTTCAGAATATACTAAACGAAAGTAGAGTTTTAATTTTGTAGCTGACAACTTTTGAATACAAGATGAACGAAACGAGATAAGCGGAGTTAATGGTTTGCATTCAATGGTCGTTTTTTTTTCATTTTCTAGGCCATATGTAATACGACACCATCTCCACGTTCATTAATTTTATCTAGTTTTAGTAAGAAAGTCGACTTTGTAATAATTTTGTGGTTGACTTTTCTGCCAAATTTCATTCTGATGAGATACATATGCTGTTTGACACTGAGAAAAGTGTCAAGATTAAGTACTGAAATGGAAGCTGCATGTTTGGATTTGTACAGAAAAGCTGTTAACTAAAAAAAGAAAGCTCCATTTTTGTTCAGTAAACTTTTAAATTTTCAGAGAAATTGAACAATTTTATACTACCATTTTTAAATTTCAAAGTTGGCTGTTCTCCATAGAAAAAAAAGTAAAAATTTGGTATTTTTGCTTCGTTACTGTATCATAAAAACTCTAAAATTTTCGTTATTGTTAAATCGAAAATCACAGTTTCGAATTATGTATTTTACAATCAAAAAGTATCATATAGTGCCTAGGGGGGCAAACTTGGAATCAAAAATTAGTTTCAAAAAATGCAAAAAAAGTTTTACCACAGTGGGGGTCGAACCAGCATAGTCAATCCTAATGAGTCACCCTCTTACCACAACACCACACAACCGATATTTTCCTCTCACGCGGAATTGGTAGAGGAGGGAAGGGGAAGTCGAAATCCCTAGCGCACCGAAATCGGCCCAAGTTTTCAGACAAAGTTTTTCGGCCTGGGAGTGAGATCGGGCTAAAAATTTTTCGTCATCGTATAGAGCATGTCTTAAACTATAAGTATGCAAATTTTGAGCAAATTCTCAACCGTTGTCTAAAAAACCTTCCCTTGTTAGTTGCTATTGTCGAATTAAACATACAGACATAGATTTCTTGGTATGAGAATGATCGCTAGCATCTCTAGAATCTATTTTTCAGCAAAAAAAAACTGAACTCAAACGCGAAAGTAGCTCGAACGAGCCGAAAATCGGAAATATTATGTTTTTGCAGCATTTTTTCGTAGATCAAAAAAAGCTAAAGTTTTCTCAGGTGTCACTTTTTTTAAACCGACAAAACGAATTAAGTTAACTTCAAAAATTTTGAAGTAATACAAAGTTGTTTCGAAAAAAATAAATTTTCAAATTTTCAATTTCTGAAAAGGTGCTTCTTGTTCTATGATTTTATTGAAATGCTGATATCAAAACCAAAACTTGTGACTAAATTGAAACAGTAAATTAATTCTAAAAGTTCATCTCGTATGTATTCGAAATTTCAGGAAAAACTGAAATTTAACTTAAAGGTGGGGGGACAGGAGATTTTACGGGGGATTTTTAGGGCCAGAGTATGCATTCTACCGTGACGGTGTACAACGCTTAATGTCACTCTGCGTACAGCTGTCGTCCTCGCCTTTATGTATGCAATCGGGTGGCCGCGTTCTCTTTGCCCGTGTAGCTCAGTCGGTAGCGGCGCCGCACCCTCAATCATCGCCCCAACAAGTTCAACTCCTCGAGGGGCATATTTAAACGAAATATCGAGAACATTATTTTTTTCATGTCCCCCCACCTTTAATATTTTGAGGAAACATATATTAAAATAATAGGAGCATACCAAAATTTCAAAATTCAGTAAAACATTGAAAATTTTCGGCTTAGTTGTACGACGAAACTTTTTTTTTTGACGAAATTTCGACTGTTTTAGAATCTTAACATATTCAACTGAATTAAAGCAGAGCTTCACTGATAAACTGTTTCTTATCTCCATACTTTTTTCAGAACAAAACATGGAACGAAGACACTGAAGAGCTGTTCCGTCGAGTCGTTTTGAAGCCATTCAAAACGTTGAGAACCGCTTTGTTGGTTGTCGACTTTCAGAATGATTTTGTGTCGGGCAGTTTGAGCATTAAGGTGAGTCATAAGTCCCTCAAGGAATTGGACTTCATTTAAAAATTCTCTGTTCTAAAAACTTCCTAAAAGCGGAACATCCTACTTCCTGCAATTATCTGTCTCACAGCATGTCTTTAACTTTTCCAGGAAGGAGACGCGGAACAAGACCCATTGGAAGCCCTTCCACATGTCAACAATCTTCTTCAAAACTTGAATTGGAATGTCATTGTCTACTCTCAAGATTGGCACCCATCTAATCATATCTCATTTTTTGAGCATGCTAGAAACCCCGACAGAGAATTGGCTCCAGAAGATAAGAGTCGGAAATTGAGACCATTCGATATTGTACGATTTGTGAAGCCAGTTTCTACTATTCAGGTTGGTTACCTATATCCTCACAATCCAGTAAAAAATCTAGTCTTTCCAACCAATATGAATATCATGCAACAGTAAGAAATTGAACGAATGTTAGTTCAAAATGGTCAATCACAGTTCTTTGAAGTTCTAAAATTTTGAAATCCTTGTTTTGGGTCCCGATTGATCAACGGCTTACAGGCGACCCAAGCCAAAGCTTCCAAGTTTTGAGGAATCAGAAGTAGTTTTGAGGAGCGGTTAGAAACAAGGGAACAGAAAAATTTCCAAATAAATACAAATATCCTGAAACTGTGAATATTCGAATTGACAGAGCAATATATTATTTTATGAGCATGTGAATCGGTAAAGAACTTCCATACAATGAAATTAGGTGCTATATATATCTTCAATTTCAGCTCAACACAACCAATTTTTAACATTCGAAAATTTTGACACCCGAGGGTTTTGGGTTATTTTTGGGGTCTGATTGGTCAACGGCGGCTCAACTGGCGGTCCAAGCCGAAAAGCTACAAAATTTCGACATTCTAAATTTCAGGTACTCTACCCGAGTCACTGTATTCAAGGCGGATGGGGATCTCAATTGCATTTGGGTCTTCAGGTGGGACATTTTTCCAAAAAAAAAAAACTAAAATTTCTTTTATGAAACCACCGTCTCATAGTTTCAGAATTTGAAAATCTCAATTTTCTGAAACAGAAAAACTTTTTCCAAAAAAAAAAACAAACGTTTTACAGCGCGTCGAAGGAGCTCACTACATCAAAAAGGGTGCCGATGTGTATGTGGACGCGTATAGCGCATTCAGTGACAATTGTGGAATAAAGCAGTGGGTTTTTTTTGGGTTTTTTTAAAATGACTTTCCTTTAAAATGAGCTAGAATCTTTAACATTTTTTTTCAGATCCGAACTGGAAATGTTGCTGCGTAAAAACGATATAAACGCTGTGATTGGGTGTGGTTTGGCTTATGATATTTGTGTGATGCACACCTTGAAAGACGCATCGAAGCATGGGTTTTTGACTTGTATCGTCAAAAGTGGAAGGTATGAATTTAACGCTGCCTTATCTCAATTCCTGTTAAAGATATCAAAAAGTGGTCAACTGATAAAATATTGCTGATAATCTGATAAATATTTTATCAGTTGACTTATTTTTTTATATTTATATCTCTTCAAGGAACCGAGATAAATCGGGTCAAAGTTAGTAGGACCGACGCGGTCGGCTGCTGAGACCGCGTAGACCGCGTAGACTCGAATAACTTTGACCCAATTTATCTCAATTCCTGTTAGAGATATAAAAAAGTGGTCAACTAAAAAAATATTTCTGAAAAACTGATAAACACTTTATCAATTGAGCACTTTTTGATATCTTTCAAAAGAACCGAGATGAATTGGTACAAAGTAAGATTACTGTTTCGTCAAATTCATATATCCACAAAATGATTTTTCAGTAGATTAATTATTTTTTGTTCTTGCATCTTCAGTCTAAAACTATTTTCAGCAAAGGTCTATCATCGCTAAAAATGGAGGAGGCGAACAAGATGTTTCAAAAAAGGGGCGTGGCCATCATTGATGACGAAATGGCACAATTGATATCCAGAAGAGAGGCGTTTCCAATTGAATGGGTAATTTTTGAATTTTTTTACTTCATAAATTTTTCCACTTCAACAAGTCATTATCTGAATTAGTTTTGAATAATTTCTCACAATCAGTACTAGAAAAAAAAGTATTTTTTTCCATTTCAAAAACTCCTTTTTTAGAACGTTGTAAATAATTAAATCACTAATTTGGTTATCGAGATTCATTGAAAAATTGTCATTTAAAAAAATGAAATCACAATCAATATTTTTTAGATCCGTCTTCTGGTCCATCAGGCAACCAATGAGCTTCATGGGAAGAAATAATTGGATTTCGATTTAAAAAAAAAATTTAATCAAAATTGAACCTTTTATTTTTGGAAGTATACTTATTTACTTCAGGAGAAACATAATAAAAAGTTTGAAAAGTTCACTTTTTCATAAATGATCATTTCTCCTCCGGCTGTTTCAGATTCAGAAGTATTAGTTGAAAATAGTCAACTTTGAAGCCTTAGAAAGTAGTTGAAAATGTTTCGATTTTTTTGAAAATTTCAGAGTATACTTAAAGTTAAAGACAGAACTTCAGTTGACAATTTTCTCATAAAAATCCAAATCCAGAGAATGGGAAACTTTGGCACTTTTCTTGGCCAGATTAATGCTGCTTTATTCGAGGCAAATATAATCCATATCATTATCTAATGAATAACATATTGACAGAAAAACGAGGTTTTCGAAACAGTAGAAATTTTTTTCTGAATTGAGTATATTTTAAAAGAAATATCAAAACGACATACAGCATCACACGATTTCGGTTTCAAAGCTTTTGTAAATTAGATAAAAGCTAATTTTCCTTGTTTCCATCACATGATCGGGCAAAATATGTATGATATTTTGAATTTTTTGGTTAAAAATAGTAAAATTCGAAGTCTTGAAAAAGTAATCCAAAATTTTTCGATTTGTCTGAAAATTTCACAGTCTACTGAGAAAAAATTCTTAAAATTTGTAGTTGTCAATTTTTTTTGTCAAATTCCATTCTGATGAGATATGTGGATTGTAACCAATAAAGTGTCACAATTCAGTATTGGAATAAGTTGTATCACTTTGAAACTGTTTATCTCTCTTTGTTTAATTTGTAGAACAAAATTGCAAATTACAAAAGTAAAGCTCAATTTTTGTTCAGCCTACTCTGAATTATTCAGGACTGTTTTAACAAGACGGTCAGGGTGCAGCAATCAATGACCTAATTTTTCAAATCTTTCTGTATCGTGTGAGAGAGTATTTTAGGATAAGAGACGCAGAGAAAAAACATCCAAAAACGCGCGCGCGAAAAGAGGTCACACCTCTTCTGCCCTACTGCGGATGGCAAAACTTTCTCTGATTTCTCTGCGTCTCTCAGATCATAACAAGCAATTAGCCATGTTGTTGGGTTCTCCAGACAGTGACCCCTATTTTAAATTTGGCACTAACTAGCCAGTAAGTCATGTATCTTATGAGCGGCGCGGTTGCGTCGCGGTCCGTTAGCCATTTTTCCTTGTTCCTTTGTTTCTTTCACTGTCTTGAAAAATACCATTTCAATATAATTTCCAAATTTCAGATGTCGAATTCTCCAGAAAGACACAAAACTCTCAAGCTTTTTGAGCTCCAAAATTCTGACATGAATTACTCGAGGACTCCTACGGTATGTGTTAATTATCTCGGCTGCTATAGGAGTTATCAAAAATTAGTGAACAGTTGACAAATTTTTGACAGCTCTTATAGGAACTGGGATAATCGAGCTTTCTCTTGCAGGGCTCCACGATCGCCGAATGTTTTGGATTGAGACTATGCACAAATTTCTCATTGTTAACAGGAAAACAAAAACAAGGAGCCCAGTTTTTTATCCTGGATCAGAATGATATGGGATGCCAGAAAAATTCACCAGAGCAGTTTAAAAGTTTGGAAAGCTATATGGTAAATTCTTAGTCACATTTTCTTTGACCAACTTTATCTCTCTTGTTGTGAAAGCAATCAAAGAGTGATTTACTGTAAAAAAAAAAGTTAGTAGGGCGACAACGTTGGTGGCTGCGGCTGCGATCGCGTAGCTCAACTCATCTTTAACTTCGACCTAATTTATCTCGCTTCCTGTGAAAGCTATAAAAAAGTGATTAACTGATAAAATGTGGCTGATATTATGCTGAATTTTATTAGTTGACTACTTTTTAATATCTCTTACAGTAACCGAGAAAAATTGAGTCAAAGTTGAGAAGACCCTTCTATTGGAAAGTTGCTCTATTTTAGAAATGCTCATTATTCCAGAAAGTCCACTCCAACAAAAAAATTTATCTTCGCCGCATAAGTTTTACAATAAAAGACCCAGAAATGGATTGTTTTTTGTCGAATGAATTGTCGGATATTGTTGCTCAATTGGCGAAAATTTCAGTGGTGGATCCGGCTGGTGAGTTATTCAATCCATAAAGTTTGAGCCCAATTATCTCGGTTTCTTTAAGTGATATCAAAATTTTTGCAACTGATATAATGTAGCTGATAACAAGACAAAAGTTTCATCAGTTGACACATTTTTGATATCTCTCAAAGGAACCGAAATAATTGAGCTCGAAATGGAAGTATGCGGTGGGCACAGCTTTGTCAACTTGCACAGCTAAATCCAATTTTTTCAGTGGCTGAAAAAATAATCAACAATTTGAAATGCGGCAAACGAATTAAACTACTAAGTCGTAATGATTTGGCACAATGTTTCTGGATGCTGGGTAACTCTGCTCGAGAATGGGTTACGGTGAGTTCTGTCTACTTAATCACTAGACTTGGAATCTCGTTTTTCAGATTGTTCCGGACTTTGAATTCCTGGCTTCGGTCCACGATTACCAAAATGGATATTCAAATCGTGTGCAGTGTCTTGGCCCATCAGCTAAACCGTATGCTTCTCAGTGTCAAGTGGTTCAGTATATTTTCAACGAACTGGTTCTTGGACTCAATTGGAAAGTGATAACTTCGAGAAAGTATAAGCCGAAAGTTATGGAATGCATAAAGGACTTGATTATGGAGTACACTGGATGCGAACGGGTTAGTAAAAAAATTATTTGATGTATACAGTACCATCTAATAACATGTACAAAGTTGTAAAAACAGTACTGTGTGTATTTTTCCTGAGAAATGTTGTCCCATTTGAAACAGTAATTTTTAAAGCAAAATCTTGAAAAACAAAGGTACTAATGAAAACGGTTGAACGACGTCCCAATGAAATTAGAAGGGTTGAATAATATATCTTTCAAGGCATATTGATCATTTTCAAGAGTTTAGAGCTTGGCCAAAATGATGGTACCGATGAAAACAGACCATTGACGGACTAAAACCGGTTGATTTTCTCGACTATCAAGTTTCCAATCACTTTGAAATTTTCAGAAAGAGTAAAGCAAACCTAGATTGAAAACTGCATTTAAAGAATTATTAGAAAATTCGTGGGTTTTCCGATATTTGCCGACCTTTTTTTTTACTTTTTCTGTACAAAAACCGGCCAAGAGGGTTGTCTTTCAAGAATCCAAAAAAAGGAATTTTCAAAAGTTATATTTATGCAAACTTCTCAATCTAGGTCTGTTTTACACCCTCCAAAATTTTGAAAGAGATCGGGAACTTGACAACCAAGCTCCAGACCCCTGATATTGGTCAGAATTGACTTTCCTTGGGTAGTTGTTCAACAGCTTTTGGTCAGCTTTTGGTCCGTCAATTGTCCGTTTTCATTAAACCCATTGTTTTTCTGAACTTTGTGTCCAAAATTACTTTTCAGATTGGAAAACAATTCCTAGGAAAAGCTAAAAAATCAGTTTTACGTCAAGCTTTCCAATCTATTTTTTCCAAAGTTTTGAAAGGGATCGGAAACTTGACAGTCGAGTTTCAGACTCCTGAAAATGGCGAGAATAGCCGATGATTAACTGAAAAAAATGTTCTTGTGTATCTTGTTGACCGGTAGTGTAAGTGAGCATTTTCAGAATTCCTTCATTCCCCTGAACCGTGTCCAAAAACAAATCGAGAGCTTGAAACAACGCTTCCGCATTTTCAACAATCAATGGGATATTGAAAAATTTATGAATTGTCCATGTCGTCAAAAAATTGATGTGGAGTTCTACAAGAAGATCGTCGAGCAGTTTGATCTACCAGAGATCACTATACTCTCCGAATCGCCAATTCCCGTTCCTGCCTGGGTTATTAAAGTGTCTCTGATCACCGGATGGGTCATACAATTCTTTGAAAATGGAGATCCAGATGATATCGTTCTGAAAGAACACATTTCTAATGGTTTCGTTCATTTGATTCCTCAAGAGAGTCAATATATGATGATTTTTGTAAGTTGAGGGGGTTTAAAGGTACAAGGGCCCAAAATCGGGGCTTGGTCCGTCTAAAGAAGATCCTTTGTGCTCTCAGAGGTTTTTGAGATGTTTTAAAAACGAAATTGAATTGAAAATGCCTAAAAAATTAATCCTCATTTTACAAAACTACCGTAATCCTCAAATTCTCAAAACTACCGTAATCCTAATTTTAGAAAACTACCGTAATCCATAAAACAAAAATCGTAATTCTAAGATTTTCAAAACTACCGAAATCCTCAATTTGCTAAATAAACTACTGTAGTACTTATTTTAGAAAACCACCGTAATCCTCAAATTCTCAAAACTACCATTTTAAAAGATTACCGTAATCCTCATTTTAGAGAGCTACCGTAATCATCAAATTCCATAGAAAGCTACCGTAATTCTTGATTTGGAAAGTCTACCGTAATCCTAATTTTAGAAAACTACCGTAATCTATATTTCAGAAAAATACCGTAATTCTCAAATGTCAATTTTTGAAAGGATATATTTTTAAAAGTTTTCTAGGCCCACCATGGGTAGGCAAGCACGCGAAGTGCGCCAAGCCAACATTGACACTTGAATTTTGAATTCAATTATCTCGGTTCCTGTGAGAAATATCAAAAATGTGTCAACTGATTAAATGTTAGAAATGTTATTCTAAACATTTTATTAGTTGACAAATTTTCGATATATTAGGTTGGCGGGAAAGTCTTTGTCACTTTTTCAATAGTTTATTTCTCAAAGAAAAAATAACCGAATAATTAATTATATTGTCCATCATTATCAACAACATGTCTCCAACGTTCCCTCAATTTATGGATTCCATTGCGGTAGAATCCAGCCGGGCGTGAGGCAAAGTATTGTTTGAGTGCCGCTTCGACCGCTCCACGGGAATTGAAGCTTCTTCCTTCGAAGGCACGTGTCATATCGCCAAATAACCAATAGTCGGAAGGAGCAAGATCAGGAGAATACGGGGGGTGAGGGAGAACATTCCATCCATATCCATCAGCTCCTGCTTCACTTGTTTCGAAACATGTGGGCGAGCGTTATCATGTTGATAGTACACTTTCTTGTCTTTCAGGGCCGAACGGTCGACTGCTTTCTTGAGGTTTCGTAGTTGAGTAGTGTAGAGGTCTCCAGTTATTGTTTTGCCCTCGGGCAGAAGTTCCCAGTAGATGGGGCCGTCCACTCCCCACCACACAGAGAGCATAACTTTTTTCGGATGAAGGCCGGGTTTGGGGACATCCTGTGGGCTCTCTCCTTCTCCAACCCACTGGGATTTCCTGTGGTGATTATCGTAGAAGACCCACTTCTCATCTCCGGTTATTAGCCGGTCCAGCCATCGATCGCCCGCGTGGAGAGTGAGAAGAGTAATCGAATCGTCGACTCGGCGGTCAAGGTTGGCTTGAGTCAGGTGATGAGGTATGAATCGACCAAAAAGTTTTCTCATTCCAAGAGACTTCAAACCTTCAAGGACTGTGCTATGGTGAACTCCGAATGTGACAGCTAGTTCACGGCTAGATTGAAATGGATCCGATTGCAATGCGTGCTTCAGCTTGTCCAAATCCAACTCACGGGGTCTCCCAGAGCGATCCTTTTCATCGAGCGAGAAGTCATCTTTTTCGAAACGATGGAACCAATTGCGAATAGTATTGTAGTGAGGGGCATGTGTGTTGTACACATTCTTCAAGAAAGTTTCCGAATCCTTCATCGTGGTGTGAGATAGGAAGAGGTAAATCAAAACATGTCTGATGTGAATAGCAGTGGGAACAAACATATCGTTTCAATTACAGATGAGGAGCAGGGAAGGAAATGGGGACTTATTTATATGGAAGGTTCTTATCACCTTGTTATTCACTAGAGTCGATATCATACACAGCCTCCATATACGAGAACAGTGATTAAACAAACAGAGTGACAAAGACTTTCCCGCCAACCTAATATCTCATAGGAACAGAGAAAACTGACGTTAAAGAAAGAATACCATTGCCTTACTTTAACTTATTACCTTTAACGTTTTTTTCAGACAGAGGAAGCCACCAACGAAAACCCAACATTCTTCAAATGGAATACTTCCAACGACACGAAACAGCAACAGAATACGAAGACCAAGAAGCAAGGTCCCTCACACAAGAACACCAAACTTCTAGACCACCGAGACGTCCGAGGCAGATACCTCAGTATGGATCAATCTTCAGAGGTTTTTATCTTCAGAGATTTTAATGAAATTCTCTTTAAAATTTATAGATTCATTGGTTTTACCAGTTCAACGACACGGACTATACCAACAATCGGCATTTTGTCGACTTCAAGAATCAAAAGAAGATGAAATACTTTGTGATCGATGAAAGAACAATGTGGATGTTTATAGAGCTCAAGAAAGCTTTGAATCCGGAATTCGATGAGTCGATTTGTTGCACTGATTTTAGGACCTATGTGGTAAGTGTTGGGATTATTGACATTTGAAAATACAGTACCAGATATACAAAAACGTATTTTTAGTTGATTTTTGGTCACTTTGGTGTCTTTCAGAAATTGGCAAATAGCAGAAGAACTAGGGATTTTCGAAAAATTCAGTAAATTCAGCATTTTCAATCTAGGTCTGTTTTACACTATCCGAAATTTTCAAAATGACTGGAAACTTGACAGTCGAGCTCCAGTCTTCTGAAAATTGTCATAATTGGGCTGTCGTTCAAAAGTTTTTGGTCCGTCAATGGTCCGTTTTCATTGGACTCGTCGTTTTTTCAAAGAAATACTGTTTCAATTTGGACAAATCCGTTTTCGTTATTTCAGAAAGTTGTTCAATCATTAAATTAGATCGAAAAATCAAAATGCTCTATTCATCTTTCTTCCAGATGATCACAGGAATAACTAACTTTGTTGTCCGAGTGTTTGAAGAGGATAATGACTCATTATTGATCGTTGATGAAGTGTACGATGTCATGCAAGAAGTTTTGCGAATTCAAGGAACACTTGAAGCTCTAAAAGAAGAATTCATTAGTCGTCGTAGCCAGGAATCAAGCCAGCTAATCAACCTTCCAATGTTTATCGATCTTCTGGAACAATTCGATATAGACAAAAGCCGTATTACTGTAAGTAATCTACTGTCAGCAACTAGCTATAAGCTCTTTTCAGCTCATCCCAGACTTCATTGAAAAACACCGAAAACCAAATCGGAAAGATCATTTGTCTACTCCGATCACTACCTTGGATCCTACTGGGATTCGAGTAATGCGTTATAAGGAGTATATATTCCAGTTGTTGCAATCAATAATTGTTGGGATCAATTGGAAATCTGTTTTGGAGTCAGCTGGGCTGAAAGCAGTTCGAGAGTTTAAGAAAATGTTTATGACTTATTTGGATGATGTGAAGAGTGCGGATAGAGTGAGTTTGAATGGTATGAACATTCTGACTTGACAGTGTAGATGCGCACTCAGCACGTTTCCTTTGAACTTTATTATCTCGGTTCCTATAAGATATATCAAAAAATAGTCCACTAACAAAATGTTGCTGATACTATGAGGAACATCTTATCAGTTGAAAACGGAAAAACGGAAAATGAGATAAATTGAGTCGAAGTTAATAGGACTGACGCGGTCGGAGGCGGCGGCTGCAGTTGCGTAGCTCAACTCATCTCTAGCTTTGACAAAATTAATTGTGGTTACAGTAATAGATATCGAAAATGTGCCAACTGATAAAATGTTGGAGTTATTGCGATAAATAATTTATCAGTTTGAACCTTTTTGATATCCCTTTAAAGTATTTTTCCAGTACGACTTGTTCACCCGAGACGAAATTGATGAAACGAAAGAGCAGTTCAGAAACCACTGCGTGTTTTGGAATGCTCCACCTCGAGTGAAATGGATGAAGTCTTTCGGAAATCTTGGAACTATTTCTCTTAAAGAATTCAATGAAGAAACTCGAAAACTTCAATTGCCAACAATTCGAGAAAATTTGAAAGAACTCGAATCGCTTGAAGTCCGGGAGGCAAGACTTTTGTTGCTCGTTTTTTCAGTAATTCAATTTTATCAAAGCGATGAAACTACGGTGGAAATTATGGATTCAGGAAAGTTGGTTGAACAGCAAAAATCGATGTTGAATGAAATCACGAAACGAATGGCTTGGGAAGAAGCTGATAATTTCAATCTGAAATTGGTATGACCCATTTTTCGGCAAAAAATTTGTAGTTTGCGATTTTCAGAAAAAAATCGCTAATAATTTGGAACACTTAACTTCAGTTAAAAATCCTGTTATGGACACAATGGTCATGAAATCCAAGAATCTAATAACTATTGGTCATACGGATCAAGATGAGTCTTTTAAATCAGACGAATTCATAGATAATAAGGAAAATGCTCCAGTGGAAGCTTTAAAGGAACATCAAGAACTGAGGATCCCTGAAACTCTATCCGAGTCGAGAGCTACACTGACTGAATTGGTTCATAAGTCAGGTATGAATGTGACCATTCATGAAGACGATCTTGACAAACAAATGGAGCAATTGGCATTAAATGGACAGGAGACTGAAAGCCATTCAAAACAGTTTTGGGATTCTAGAGGCAGAATTTCGAAATTCGCGAAAATCTATCTCGAATGGATGAAAAGGCAAGATCTAGAGAGAAGGCAAAACAAGGCATGTGATGAACTGAGGTTAGATAAAGTGAACTCTGAAATCACGGGAATGTTGAGAAGTGCTACGGAACAGTTGTCAAAGGCTAACGAGACGATTCAGAAGTTGGAACATGAGAGAAAGATGTTGATGGTAGAGATTCATCAAATATGGGAAGAATCGAAAAATGATAAGAGAATACTGATGATGGCAAATGTGAAGTGAGTTTTTTTTCAAATTTTTTAAAGGAGTGGGGGGAGGAAGGTGAAAGTACATACGACATCAGAAAATATGTATTTGAAGGGAACTTTCAATTGTTTCTAGAGTTTCTAGAGATCGCCAGAAGGCCCGAGGTTGCCGTGGATCTTGGGGCCGGCCCTTCAATTAAGGAGAACCTTAGGAAATGGCAGAGAAAGATGCCAGCACTGCAGTGATGGGAGGAATTTCCGTTTCCGTTTCCGTTTCCGTTTCCGTTTCCGTTTCCGTTTCCGTAAAAGTAAACTCATATTTCCGTTTCCGTTTCCGTTTTCCGGAAAAACCACCATTTTTTACAGCGGAAACGGAAAAAATTCAAAAAACAAGCTGAACAAAATTCCTTTTCCGTTTCCGTTTCCGTTTTTCGCGGAGAAAAATTTCCGTTTCCGTTTTCCGTACTTCGAAAAAATGCGTTTCCTCCCATCACTGCAGCACTGTAACGCCAAATAAAACTTCTCTTACGAAACCTATAATTTCAGCTACGACCGTTCGCAAAAGGAGCTGAGTGACTTGATCGTTATTATCAATAACAAAGAAAAGGAAGAGGAAGAAAGAGTGAGAGCGATGAAAAAACTAGAGGAGACCAATAAGAAGCTAAGAGAAGAGAACAAAACGTTGTTAAAGGAAAACAAATCGCTGATAAGAGAGCTGGATCTGCAGAAGGATGAAGCTGATAAGACAGTGAAGAGAGCAAACGAGGAGTTGGTAAAGAAGCACAGGCAATTGTTGAAAGAGCAGGAAAGGTGAATTTGAAAAATCCTAAATAGTGCTAAAATTTAAAAAATCTTTTCAGAACTGCTGCATTGGAATTAGAGCTGAAGGACATGAATGTGGGACTTGAGTATAGAGAGCAGGAGATTAAAGAAGGAGATGAGAAACTGAAGAGGGAAAAGAAAATGGCAAGAAAAGCAAGAGAGGAGCTTGATGAGCAGATCAGAAAGTGAGTTGAATTGTATTTTTTATTTATAAGCTAAATTATTTTAGAACAAGAGAATCGGATTGGAAATTGAAGGAGGCCAATGAGCGGATGGAAAAAGTCGTAAAAGAGAAGAATGTAGAAATTCAGAGAATTCGAGAAGAATTGAACTACAAGTGGCTAGTGGAGCATAACAAGGCAAAGGAGGAGATGAGGAAGTAAGTTTTGTCTCCTTAGTTTGCTAGAATTCCATTATAACCTAAATTGTGATCTTCGAATTAGGCGCCCTCTTGTGGCTGCAACTGCGCCCACCGAATCATAAACAGTTCGGTGCAAAACTCAGCTTAAACTCAAAATTTGAATTCCAATTAAAATATAAAAAATATTAGAAATGAAATAGGCATACAAAATGATATATAACCCGTCTATGTTTTATAGCCCAGTTTTGAACCAGAACCCTTCAAATAGTAGCGGCCTCCCCAAAATCGACCCGACTAGCTCTTCTTTACTGCCTCTGCTTCAAATTCGAGCATTTTGCTTCAGTTTAAGTTTTAAGTCATTTTGTAGCTCTTTTCAAGTTCTACTTTTTACTTTTCAATTTGGAAAAAAACATCCAGTTTGGTCAAGTTATGCGTTTTCTATGCCAACAAACCACTAAATTGCTCTGTTAACTTTGACTTACTTTATCTCGGTTTCTGTGAAAGATGTCAAAAAATGATTTTTAAAAATCTGTTGCTGACAACATAATGAACATTTTATCAGTTGACCGCTTTTTGATAACTTTCACAGGAACCGAGAAAAATTGAATCAAAGTTGTGTCCTTCTGTTATGATGGCAATTCTTCATCCAAAAGAAATTAATTTTCAGAGCCTCCGAAGCTGAAAGCAAAGCTCGACAGCTGATGATAGAGAGGGAGAAAATTCTGGAACAGTCTAATCGATTTGGATCCAGTTCTCCAGTTCAAGAAGCAGTTTATAGAGAGCGCAATCGAGCTTTGAATCTTGAGCTTAAGCAGTGAGTTTGATTTTTTTTGTAAGCAAGGTTTTCATACGGGAACGTTTACAGTAAGAAAGACGAGATCGCGCACTTGAAAAACCGAATTCGAGAACTCTCTGATTCTTCAGGATCTCCGCCACAAGTTAACCATCATGTTCAAGACCCAAAAGTCCATCTGGAAAAGTTCGAAAAGATGAAGAAGGATTTTCAGGAGGATAACGATTTAAAGGCTAAAAGAATGCAAATTGAGCGGTTGGTGGAATTCTCAGAAGTTTCAAAAACTATCTAGTTGATTGTTTTCAGCCTCATCCATGCCACGGATTCTAATGAAACGCGAGCAATTGCCATCTCCGAGTTGGATCGGTATGATGAGTCCATTGAAGCTTATCAAGATGTATTGCAGTTTAATATTCTGAAAATCAAGGTACAGTAACCTTTATCTGTTAATTGGTCTAACTTGGTCCAACCAAACTGCATACATATGTACCATCTGACTCTCATTCGTCCTAAATTTTCAGATCACCAAAGATCCATCCGACTGTCTTCCATTCCCTTCTTTTCCTGAGTTATCTTCAAAATTCATAGATGCAGAGAAAAGCCAATGGGAGAAGCCAACATTCGGAGAGAAGGATTGTGCAGTTTGCTTCGACGAGATCCATAAAAATGAGCGTATCAGCACATGTCCAAACCGGAAATGTTTTCCAAAGTATCATCAAAAATGCTATAAGAAAGCCATGGAGACTAGAGCCGTCTGTCCATATTGTCAAACTTCGTGCTAGAAAGTATCAGATGGAAATTGAATAAGCTTTAATAGCAAATGTTTTATATTAGTTTTGTCGTCGGTCCTAATTGAAGATCTCGATGTTTTATTGTCATTTTTGCAAGTAAATGTTCGAGTTATATATTCTTTTTTTAATTGATTGAAATAAATAATTGAAGGCATATATCTGATTTCTCGAAATTTTCACTGATTCATCTTGTTAACTAAACGAGTTATGTTATTTTTGGGACAGTAGTGGAAAAATATTGGAATGTTGACAAGGTTTATTGAAAAAGATTTCCAAAACTATTTTTTTCCTACTTGTAATCCTGGAAAAAATGTAAAATTGTCTTCCCTCTCTTCACAAGACAAGAAAAAATGAGAACGATTTTTTGCACATCTCCTCCACTTCTTTCCCTCTTCTTCTCCCACACTATTTCTCATTTTCTTCCCTCCCCAATACTGTTTATCATTCATAAAAATTGTTATTTTTCCAATTTCTCATGTGCTGAGAAAAAAAAATATGGTGAAGAAAATTAAAAAATAGCAAATTTTATGAATTTCTCATAAACAATAAAACTACGCTAAGCCTATCTTTGAGCTAATTTATCACGTTTCTTGTGAAAGATATCAAAAAGAAATCAACTGATAAAATGTTTGCGATAAAATGATAAATACTTTATCAATTGACC